GATATATTATGGGGCCTAATTCGGGTTTCAACTGCTCCCTGATCCAGCGGCTATGAAAAGTGCCTTGGCTGTGCTGTCAGTGTGGGGAGAAAAGCGCCCTTTATTTGCTGAGCTGCCTTTACGACCGTCCCTCGTGACGGTGTCCGTTAGGACGGCCCAGCATGTTAGTCATCACTCTGGCTGTCCTGAGGGCAAGAGAACAATGGAAGTCACAGGCTAGCGGGTGCATGCAGAACGAGCAAAGACGTGCGACCTTCAAGGACCGACATGCCAGGACGCAAGTTCAACCGCCGGCCAGGACCTGCCATCCGTGAGGTCATGCCTGATGAGAGGCTACGAAAGGACGCATGCACATGTGCGCGTAACAGTTGCGATATGTGTCACGCGGAGGACACCACACGATGACTGCCGGTGCCTAAATACGTTGGTACCGACACGAGGCGGCCTTCTGCTGCTAGTGACACGAGACTCTGTTGCCGAGACCTGCTGTTCGCCGAGATGAGACCGACGACAGAACACACGCTGCTGACGGCCGCAGGACAAGCTGCCGGACACACAGAAGACAGAGCTGATTTAAAAGCAGAAACGGTGACAGTAAACTATCTGCTATCATGTCTGCATTCCTTTCCTTACACGCAACTGGGGAATATAACCAGTGTCGACGCAGCCACACACAATATTATAACAGTGTCTCCCATGTGTTCCACGGATCAAGGTGGCATCCGGTCGGCTATTCTGTTTAACTACGCCCTACACGGTTTTGACCGTATGGAGTTTGCACCCGGACACAAACTGACTGTCTTAAACTACGCTGACAATATCGCCTCGCTAGCCTCTGGGTTTGGTGATTTACAGTCTGCGGTGTCGCAAGTTAATGAGACCATTACTTCATTCGGCTTATTCATTAACGCTTGGAAGACTAACTTGTTTTCTGGTTGCATCCTTGAACAGGAGAAGGCACCGGGAGGGGGGTTAATAGCTGTCAAGTTGAAGAAGTGAACTAAATCGGGGCATGGCTGCTGCCGCATGGCCACAGTAGGGACGACACTGTCTCCCGAATCGATGCAGCTCATCGAGTTTTCTCAAAACTTAGAATGTGTCGATAGATACCG